AAGAGCGGAAAAAATATGGCGTCGTTTGCTGTCCCTATCGATATACTTTTGTAGCGTCCATATTAAATAACACATTAGTAAAGAAGAATTTTTAGATTTGTGAATTTAGAGCTTATGGTTCTTCACTATCCCACTTACAAATCAATCTTCAAGTTGTACAGACAACTGTTGATTCGTTAAATTATACTTGTTTTTATGATTTTATTAAAATCATTATCCGCCGAAGTTTGGAAGGATTCTTTATTATGCATTTTAGCTAAACAAGAGAGATTTCACTTTACAACTTTAAGGATCTAGTAGATTTAATCAACGTCTGTGTTGAGCTATTTAGTCGAAGAGATCGAAACTCAAAACATCGCCTTCCTCTGACCCTGACTCCTCCTTTTTGGCTACAAGGCTGTAGTTTTTTTTCCGTACATGGACCAATTCAAATGTGATACCGAACCCCTTATCGTTGTCTTCTTCTGACTCTGACTACTCCTTTTGGTTTGAAGAGTATAGTGCATTTTCTTTCTGGCATTGTTTGAACTCAAATGTGGTAACCGGTCTCCATTATATATTATTTTGTCTCGAGCTCGGAATTTTGGACAATTCTCAAAGGCCATGAAATTAGATTTTATATTTCGTAACAATTTTTTTCAACACTTCTTCTAGGAATTCCTCGTTTCAGTGCAGAACTATAAGGACATTTACAATCGCGAACGTTGGCAAAATATTTGGATGATTTGCAATGGGCAAAGTGAGGGTAAACGTTAAGTAAATATTCCAAAGCATGTAGCGGAATCATTGAACCCAAGGGCTGCAAAAAATATCGGGAAAGAATTTAAAATRCAATTAAAACCAAAAATAAATAAAACTTGTACAAAAAAAGCAACAATAAATTAAATATAAAATAGCGCATGAAAGAACATATTTGCACGTCCGATTGCTTGACGGTTCTTTTGCGAAAACTCAACAGTTGTTGGCGCAAAACGTCGCTCAGCGCAAGATAACGGTTGCACAGCATGACAGAAGACAGCAGGAAAATATTTACACGGTGACTAACTCAAGTGCAATGGCTTCCTAGGTGACCCACTGGTTCCAGGCAGGTAAGCGGGTAGTCCTACAAACATTTATAAGCTAAAAAGCGCTCGGAGTCGTCTACTACGCAGTAGGGTACCAGGTAGTCATTGCCCCTGCGTAAGGTGATTGCAAAAATTCTGATCCAATTTACACACACAGCTGGATGCTAATTTCTCTGCACTACACTTGGCCCCATTTCCGTTGAGGTAAGYAAATAAAAAACAAACGCATAGTTCAAGGCAAGACAACAAAGCTGTTTCTAATGCTCGATCCAGCTATAGGCGAATTCGACGACTACGACTATAAAAGTCGCAACATTCTTTCAATAGCACATAGTTTACTCGAGTTCTTGAACGAGAGCCTTTTGAAAAAAAAAAACTTTTTTACAACTTTTTTTTTTTTTAACGTCTAAAAAATGTTGCTGCTACTTAGCTTGGCTTKTCTCGGCGGAATCGTCATTGAATCTGCCGCCGCCAGTACGCGTATTATAGGCGGCAACTTTGCGCTGCTCGGCCAGTTTCCGCACCAGGTCTCATTACAACTGCGCGGACGTCATCATTGCGGTGGTTCACTCATATCACCGACTATGATTGTCACTGCCGCCCATTGCACGATTGGACAGAGTCCTTCGCAAATGCGTGTCATTGCCGGTACGGTGGACCTGCTCACCCGYAATGGAAAGTCCTTTGATATTGCCAAATTCATCATACATCCACAATATAATAAACAGACGCARGACTACGATCTCTCGCTCATACAGCTGAGCACGCCGGTGACGTTGGATGATAATATCGGCGTAATTGAATTGGCAGATATGGAGGCGAACCACGCGGCCGACACGGTTGGCACTATCAGCGGTTTTGGTGCTGTTAATGGCAATCTGCAGCTGCCCAATCGCTTGAAGTATGCCCGCGTGCAATTGTGGAGTCGTGACTTCTGCAATCCGCAGAACATTCCCGGTATTACGGATCGTATGATTTGTGCTGGTCATCCAAGCGGTCAAGTGAGCGCCTGTCAAGGCGACTCTGGCGGCCCATTGACAGTGGATAAGAAACTTTTTGGCGTCGTGTCATGGGGCTTCGGTTGTGGCGCAGCTGGTAAACCGGCTATGTACACATACATCGGTGCACTACGTTCTTGGATCAAACAGAACTCTGGCGTTTAATGTGACATGCGATACGATTAATAGAAAATGAGTAAAATAAAATCCAGCTTTTAAAAATATATTTACATATATAGTGTCTGATTTATATATATATTTTTTTTCAAATTCTTTTTGGTACCGTAATTCTTGTAATATCTGGATCTAAGCACCCGTTAATCTTAAAGTACGATTCGATGAGAATAAACGTCGTACAATATAGCTCAAGCCAAGAAATTTTTTTTAGGGAATAACCCTTCGTTATTTTATATTTGCCACCGTGGGTTTCAAAGCACTTGAAGTATGCGATTAAAGCACTGGACATGTAAAGGCTAGGTTACGTTAAGAGGTCAATCTTAACAGATGCGGTCTTTTGTGTTACCTAAAAAATCCTTTATAAAAGAAGTCCTTTATAAATCGACAAGGCGCTTTAAGTCTATCATATATTTATTGTGACGGCTAATGTCAGYKTCGGCTATGYATYCTGGTAMTGCGAAGGTAAAARAACYGAKATGTTACATCCTCAGTCTTGCAAATCCTGGACAATGAAGAAAGTGCCCGGATGTTTTCAACTCACTTTCCCCATACAACTTTGACAACTCGCGTCTGTCAAGACTTTTAGCATTACTGCATGAATGACACGTGCAAGCTTCTTAGCAACAGCCTTCCCGAGTGCCCTCCTCCAAATGAGTATATATGTAAATGCATGTGTTTACATCATATATTTAAAAGCCACTGTATCGAATCAACCAAGYATTGGTTGATGTACCAGTGTAGTGGTGGTTGTAGTGTTGACTGTAACTGTAACACTCACAGCGCCATCTGTGCACATATCGTGTCAGTGAAAGTTACAGGATGACTCATAATAAACAAATGAACACGCAGTCGTTATTATTCAAACTATTCGTTTTTTTTTTTTTTTTTGTTCTAAGTGTTGTTTATTCAGAGAACGTTTATAACAGAGAACGTCTATCATAGAGAAGGTTCACGGTTCAAATATCGTAACTTTTCGAAGGGGCAGAGATGATCCATTCTCACCACAGACATAAATAGACAAATGATAGACGCTCTCTGGTTTATTGATATGATAAAACTTTTCTAATACCGTTTAATATTCGATAAAAGATAACAATCTATGCATGTTTARGGCATAAAACAGCCTCTAATTCATKCAGCCTGCCGTTTGCCTTACAATTTCAGACAGTGAGATCCCTTTGTCGTACGTATTTTGAGATATTTCACAGTTTGAAGTGAATAGTTTATACAGCGGGTTGAAAACGAGATGTTGAATATCACTCCTTCGTTAGTTAGGCTAACTTTCCGAAACACTTTTGAGCTCCTCAATTTAAGGCTACTTTTCCACCAATGGAATAATAGTTTAGTTGAACTGAAGCCACTTGACTTGCCAGCGACATCGCTTCGCTCTATGTATCTTGCAAATATTTTCTAAGAAGATCCGACGTTTTCGAGCCAAATTTTGTTYAGCGATGAGGGGTATATCTGGCTCAATGGATATGTAAATAAGCGGTCATTTTGCATTTGGGACGAAGAACAACCTAACGATATTCAAAAACTCCCATTTCATCCACGAAAACAACGGTTTGGTGTGGTTTTTGGGTCGGTGGAAACATGGGTCCAGTGGTAACCGCTAACGCGCCATGATAAACGACCGAATTGATGACCGAATTGATGACCGAATTGATGCCGGCGATATGTGGTTTCAACAAGACGCATCAATCAATGGATTTGCGAAAGATTGGCAGTTAGATCGTGTGTTATTACATCGTTAGACTTTTTGAGGGCATATGTAAAGCTTAAAGTCTATGAAGGCAATCCCGCTTCCATTCAGACCTTAGAGCAAAACATCACGCGTGTCATWARCCTGTTACTAGTSGAAGTGCTYGAACGAGGCATCAAAAAGTTGTCTCAACAGATGGACCATCTGAGACGTAGCCGCGGCCAATATTTGAAAGAGATAATCTTACGAAAATATATGCGAAAGAATATTCTTTCGAATAAGAATAAATATTTTCCGTTAAATTTAAGGAGTCTGCAATTTTATTTTAAAATAGTAGGTAACCTGGAAACGTATCTCCCTTTAGTAACACATTTGTAGGGTATACATGAAATAGTTCTCGACTTATAGCTYTAATAAGCGTTGCTAAGTTATACTGCTAATCAGCGTGAATAATGCCCCAAGCAGTTGAAGAAGGTTTAGTAATAATAGGTACAGAAGTACTTCGTCATTTTAAACGGTTGCAGGTCAGTGAAAAGGTGCTTGTGGAATATCGTAGTAGATTGTATAGATAATTAGAATTTTAAAGAATTTAAGWTAAAAAAATAACAATAAAAATATRTAAATAATATTTGAGGAATTCTTARASTTCTTATTTGAAACTTGAAAGGAAATCAAGTTTCGCCAAAAGAAGTCTCCATAATCCAATCGGCTACAGGCATCGACTGTCTAGTTAATAGAACTCAAGGACGAAAAGAAGACAAGGAAATCCATCGCAAAAGAGATCATATTTATTATCGTTGCATTTTTTATAATAGTGAACAAAATTTTCTTCGATATTATTCATGATCCGTATTATCTAACACTAGCTGCTGCAGCCGAAATTTACGTATTTCCTTGTTTATTATTTTAATGCTTTTCTCACTTATTTCAGCTGAATCCCAGATTAAGCCCAAAAAGTTATCCCAAAGTGTTCTCAAAATGATGCGACTTATTCAAAARCTCATCAGAATGCGCCGCCCACTAACAGTTTTCAAATTTATAGTGTTAGTGGCTATATATATGCTTCTGATTTATTGCAAACGACTACGGGAACTGACCATACGTGCGCCAGACTTTGCTGAAACGCCGAATATGAACAAGGAACGGGGTGGCGAGAGCACGGAGTTTCTTAAAACTGACTTTGGGTTACGGCACAGCATTGCGGTTTTAGATAAGATGCTGAATGGTGTAAGCACAAGTAAGACTTTCTTTCCTTCATTTACAAGGCATTTGCTACTCTCTTCTTTCTTCTTAAAATGTTGTGTATTCTATAACGATTTTTCATATTACTTAGCTCCACAGATCTTCAAAGCGTCGAGTGCTCATTCTTCGTTCAAAATTGGTATTAATGCACCTGGCGAGTTAGGAAAACCGGTACATTTGCCCACAAATATGACAGAGGATATGAGGAAAGCCGTGGATGAGGGTTGGCAGCATAATAAATTCAATCAATATGTGTCCGATATGATTTCGGTGCAGCGAACGCTGCCTGATCTGCGGCATGAGTGGTAAGTAAAAAGTTGTGAAGAGCTTGGAAATTTGTGGAGAGCTCTACTAACATTGTAGTAGTATTTGTGGAAATTAAATTTGGTACAAAATTGTCTTAGCCTATCAGACTAACTTATGGAAACTTATGGCTGGTCAGGTGGAGTCAATCTTTCGAATTTTCTATGCTATGAAAAATATTTAGAGAATTGTTGTATGGTCTTTCCCACAGTTTTCGAAATTGAAATGCACTACATTCACCTCCAGAATTATAAATTTAACTGAAAAGTTCATAGGCTGCGAACTAAAAAAAGTCTCGCACCATTCTTCCTAAATATAACTTTACAACTATTAATCGATATTTCATTTCGCAATATCTATGACTCAACATATAAAACTCAGTGCAATAACATTTCTCATTCCAATCTTAATAAGGTGCAAACAACCCGATCGTTATTTGCGAGATCTGCCGAAGACCGATGTAATAATATGTTTCCACAATGAGGCCTGGTCAACAATGTTACGAACAGTGCACTCAGTGCTAAACCGATCTCCGGAAGTGCTGATTAAAAACATTATCTTGGTCGATGATTGCTCAGATATGGGTAAGATAATGGACAGGGTGCAGCGACGAGATATTAAAGATGACTACAGAGTAGCAACCTCAGAGGACCAACCTATTATACATATAATTTATAAAAAATTATAAAGCAACTTATACAAACAGTCTGACATAGTCCCGTTTTCTGAAAGCGCCGCTCACGGCTGCACTCTTTGGTCAATCTAATTTCTTAGGGGTTTCAAACCTCAATCAATTCTAATGTGATAAACTTTTGTTTTGCAGCACATCTGAAAGAACCTCTCGATAYCTACTTTAAGAGCTATAAAAAAGTGCGCATCATACGCGCGCCGAAACGCCAAGGTCTCATACGAGCGCGACTGTTCGGCGCACGCTATGCAACGGCGCCGGTTNTCCCAGATTAAGCCCAAAAAGTTATCCCAAAGTGTTCTCAAAATGATGCGACTTATTCAAAAACTCATCAGAATGCGCCGCCCACTAACAGTTTTCAAATTTATAGTGTTAGTGGCTATATATATGCTTCTGATTTATTGCAAACGACTACGGGAACTGACCATACGTGCGCCAGACTTTGCTGAAACGCCGAATATGAACAAGGAACGGGGTGGCGAGAGCACGGAGTTTCTTAAAACTGACTTTGGGTTACGGCACAGCATTGCGGTTTTAGATAAGATGCTGAATGGTGTAAGCACAAGTAAGACTTTCTTTCCTTCATTTACAAGGCATTTGCTACTCTCTTCTTTACTCTTAAAATGTTGTGTATTCTATAACGATTTTTCATATTACTTAGCTCCACAGATCTTCAAAGCGTCGAGTGCTCATTCTTCGTTCAAAATTGGTATTAATGCACCTGGCGAGTTAGGAAAACCGGTACATTTGCCCACAAATATGACAGAGGATATGAGGAAAGCCGTGGATGAGGGTTGGCAGCATAATAAATTCAATCAATATGTGTCCGATATGATTTCGGTGCAGCGAACGCTGCCTGATCTGCGGCATGAGTGGTAAGTAAAAAGTTGTGAAGAGCTTGGAAATTTGTGGAGAGCTCTACTAACATTGTAGTAGTATTTGTGGAAATTAAATTTGGTACAAAATTGTCTTAGCCTATCAGACTAACTTATGGAAACTTATGGCTGGTCAGGTGGAGTCAATCTTTCGAATTTTCTATGCTATGAAAAATATTTAGAGAATTGTTGTATGGTCTTTCCCACAGTTTTCGAAATTGAAATGCACTACATTCACCTCCAGAATTATAAATTTAACTGAAAAGTTCATAGGCTGCGAACTAAAAAAAGTCTCGCACCATTCTTCCTAAATATAACTTTACAACTATTAATCGATATTTCATTTCGCAATATCTATGACTCAACATATAAAACTCAGTGCAATAACATTTCTCATTCCAATCTTAATAAGGTGCAAACAACCCGATCGTTATTTGCGAGATCTGCCGAAGACCGATGTAATAATATGTTTCCACAATGAGGCCTGGTCAACAATGTTACGAACAGTGCACTCAGTGCTAAACCGATCTCCGGAAGTGCTGATTAAAAACATTATCTTGGTCGATGATTGCTCAGATATGGGTAAGATAAYGGACAGGGTGCAGCGACGAGATATTAAAGATGACTACAGAGTAGCAACCTCAGAGGACCAACCTATTATACATATAATTTATAAAAAATTATAAAGCAACTTATACAAACAGTCTGACATAGTCCCGTTTTCTGAAAGCGCCGCTCACGGCTGCACTCTTTGGTCAATCTAATTTCTTAGGGGTTTCAAACCTCAATCAATTCTAATGTGATAAACTTTTGTTTTGCAGCACATCTGAAAGAACCTCTCGATAYCTACTTTAAGAGCTATAAAAAAGTGCGCATCATACGCGCGCCGAAACGCCAAGGTCTCATACGAGCGCGACTGTTCGGCGCACGCTATGCAACGGCGCCGGTTTTGACGTTTCTCGATTCGCATTGCGAGTGCGGCGTGGGTACAATTATAACAACATTTAAGCAATAATGGACATCAACACTCTTTATCTATTACTTTAAGGTTGGCTGGAACCGCTACTCGATCCCATAGCGCGCAATTACACCACAGTCGTCTATCCAAATATTGCGACTATCGATCACGAGACTTTTGAGTATATGAATGTAGATGACATGCTTATTGGCGGTTTCGATTGGGATTTAACATTCACATGGATTCCAACACCCAARCGTGAGTACGTGCGTAGAAAYGTGAGTGTGCGTAGTTTGAGCGCAACTCGTTTCTCATGAAGTTCAATTTGCACAGCATACCATGGAGCCGGTGTATTCGCCCACAATGCCTGGCGGTCTATTYGCAATCAGTCGTGTATTTTTCGAACATCTCGGCACTTATGACACTGGCTTGCTCATTTGGGGTGCTGAGAATTTGGAATTGTCGTTTAAAACTTGGATGTGCGGTGGTAGATTGGAGATGATACCCTGCTCTTACGTTGGACACATTTTTCGACAAACTGCTCCTTACAATGTAATAATATAATATATGATGTTAGCGAGGAAATTTCGCGACTTAAAGAAAKACTGTKTTTCATGATATTTACAGGTGGCAGRTAACAAAYCCAGRAACTCTGTGCGTTTAGCTGAAGTTTGGCTGGATAACTACGCTAAATATTTTTATTACAATATAAATTTTGACAAGGGTGATTAYGGGAGTGTAGATTCGCAAATCGCAYTGAGGTAAGAAGACTAYAAATTTGACTAAAGCTACATATACCATATTTTTTTGAAGATAAGGGGTGGAAAATGCCTTCCGCATCATCAGAGCTGTCATCACTTGCAGATCACTAAAGAAAGAAGTGTGTGTTCAGCGTCGTCTTCTGCCACGTCGTTGTATACTATAGGCATAACGGCTCTTCGTCATTATCCATTCCTTCAAGATACTTTCTGAATTATCCGTGTCCGGATAGTAGCAATGTCGACTTATCGAAAATTGCGCCTTGTCCATAAACTACAAACTCTTATAAGTCGGGCTGTCCATCTGACGCGACTCTCATTCTCCCATCTTTGTTGCCATGGAAGTATCGTGTCTTTTTATAGTCGGTCAATTGGGCTATTGTTATTTTCATTTGCTTTCTTTAGCTGTTTTTTCTTACGCGCTGGAAGGTCTATAAGTTAAGCTGCTGCAATACCTTCCACCGGTTTTTCTGTTTTAGTACTTCTGCCCAAAWCTCTGCTCCGTATAGTAAGACACTGGTGGTTGTGGACTTTCTCTACTCTTAAGTGGGTCCTCCTATTTTGGCCATTAGCCTACTAAATAGGAGGTGTTTTTTCTCTCTTTCTTGCCGTATGCTGGTTTTGTACCCATAAGGTTAATCTGGGGTCCAGTCTTACGGCTAGGTAACTCACATCTTTTTTGTCCTTAGAATGCCCTAAGTCCTTTGTAAGTTTATTGCGAGAGGAATGTGCTTGTTCGTTAGCAGTAGTAGCTCTGTTTTTTCTGTAGCGTGCTGGAGGTTATGTGAGTCAAGCCATGTTTACGTCCGTATTATGTTCTTATTCAGCTTTCTTCGTGCTTCCTCTGCACCCCGGGATGTGATTGCTGTTACTGTGTTGTCCGCGAGCCGATTAAATATGAYTCGTTTGGCATTTCAAGTTTTAGTGTTCCATCATTATTAATGTTTCACAGGTCTGCGCCTAAAATATACTCTTGTGGTGCTCCTGRCATAATTTTTATTTGTCGTGGTCCGTCTCTAGTCTGGTACGGCAGTTGGCTCCGGGCTTTCTCGCTGTATCGAGAGCGGTGTCCTGATATCCAGCTGGGATTCCCCTTTCCCCTACTGATTAGGACACGTCGCTGTTTCTTCCAAATTTCAGGAAACATTATTCCTGCTTCGATGCAGGCGTTGTACATATTTAAGAGTACTGCGGGTCACTCGGAGGCTATTGTTTTGAATATTTCTCCTGGGATCCAGTCTGGGCCGGGCGATTTGTTAGTTTTGAGCTTGCCAGCGGCCAGCAGTTCCTCCATGTAGAAAATATAGTATAGCGTGTAGTATCGAAAAATTTCTTACGTTTCGGCATTGACCTTATTTCAGTCAAAAGTTTCGTTTTGTAGACATTGTACTGTCGAGAAATACTGTATCCTTAAAAAAAAAAAAAAAATTCCTAATGTCTATTATCAATGATCCAACTGACCTATCTTCAGCGAACCCTTTATATTTTGAAAAAAAAAAAAAACGATCTCATAGCTGGATTCATTTCAGTGTCCCTTATTCCTCCATACCAATACCTTAGTTTGTGGAAATATGCAGGAATTTTTTATTTTTTGTCAAATACTGAAAATCGGACTACTCTGTTTTTTTTTATAGACATCAAGCGATACTCTTCGTGGAACTGTCCTTTTTTTTTGATGATTTTTGGAATTTGAACGAGTTTTAGTTCCGTTTCCGTTTCCGTTCTTTGTTTAAGCATAGAAATCTATTTGCGAATGAATTGATTGTTCTCACCTTCGTATATAATGAAATAACGTGAATCAAAGGGATGACCTACTGAGTGATTCAGAGTGCTTTGAAGGGTTGAAGAATCAGAGGAATAATATGTGGAGATTCTGCATAAGTGTATCTCTAACTAGTCCCACGAATAAAATCAAAATTAAAGGATGGAGAAGAGGCTGGTTCAGACATCCTTACGCTTCGTATTTTTGAAATTGTTCAATGTTTCTTTTCTCTTCAAGAAAAAGGCTTAATTGCGAAAGCTTCAAATGGTATGTGCAAAATATATATCCAGAACTGGATATACCCAAAGATCCGGTTTCCGCTGGCGAGGTGAGTATTTCCTGCATTGCTAAGACAACTTTTTGAAAATAACTTTCAGCCATTCAGATAAGAAATCTCGGCGCTGGCGGTAATAAATGCTTAGATGTGAATGGCCGAGCAATGTCAGGACTACCAGTTGGTCTATGGCCATGTCATGGAAAAGAAGGAAATCAGGTAAAACAATAGATGACAACATTTTTTGTGTGGTTAAAAAAAAACAAATTTTTTAATTTATATAAATATTCTGTTCTTCAAAAAAGCACTGGTTTATGACTTATGCTGGTGAGATACGTCACGGCGATTATTGCTTGGATTATGGCGGCAATTTTGTGATAATATTTCACTGTCATGGCAAGAAAGGAAATCAGGTATGGATACCAACAATCAGATGTGGTACCGATAATAAACTAATTTTTTCAATGTCTTTATTTTGAACAGCATTGGACTTATGACACAGTAAATCGTTTCTTAAGACACGCTATCTCGAAGTTATGCTTGGCTGTATCAACGAATGGTGAAAATTTGCTGTTGGATATATGTGATCCCGAAGATATGCATCAGAAATGGCTGTTGGAGAAATTTGATGAACCAATGTAGATATAT